TTTTTTCCAGCACCATGAATTGAAGAGAGCATCCATTTCCCATTTGATATTTTTGGGCCCCAGCAACTGAGTGCTTTAACCACTGTGTCATGATGGCTCTTTTGATGTTTAATAGGCTTAACAAACTAACACCTTGAAAATTGGGACCATGATCGTCCTTCTCCTAAAACAAATGTGCTCTGTCCACTGTCTTCCTTTCCAGTTACTTTAAAAGTCATCTAAACACCTCTCTTTCCTATCCAACATCCTAACTATCAAAAATTCCTATTAACTATACCTTCAAATACAAGCCTAGGTCAAAAAACACTGCTACAAAAGCATAGAAATCTTTCTTAAACAAAGATATTTCTCAACATATCCTGCATCTAACAAGGTCTATACACCTTGGGATATCTATACACTGTGGAAGGCAGTGTTTCCATCTCTCTATCTCTTCCCAAAGAATTCTACACTCTTTAATTTATATCAAGAGCCCTGATGCCATAGTGAGTTACATATACATTGAGAGCTGTTAACCACAAATTCAACAGTTTGAAAACACTAGAAACGTTGAGGAAGAAAGACTGAGCTTTCTACTCTCTTAAACAGTTAACGGTTTCAGAAACCCACAGGGGGTTGCTATGAGTCAGCATTTACTCAGTGGCAGTGAGTTTATTAAGACTGAACTGCTTACCACAAGATCAGCAGCTCGAAACCACCAACGCTCTGTAGGAGCAGTATCGGAAACAAACAGGAACAGTTCTGCCATGTCATGTAAGGTTGCTATGGGCTGAAATGGACTCAATGAAAGTGAGTTTGGTTGGTTGGCTGGTTTTGGTTACTGAGATGAAGACAGGTGTCGTGCTGAGTGTAGGGCTCCACTGATTGTAGAGACATGTTTACATCTTTTCTTGTTGGAATAAATTATACACGTATGAACTGGAACTTTAATGGCAATGCTTTTTGACTTACTCTCGTATAATTAGAAGATTTATACACATGCCCTTCTAAAGTAAGCAAATGTTGTCCTTGATGTGACTGAACTATTGAATTGTATGATGTGTGAATTATATGCCAATAAAACTGTTGGGAAAAAAAATTTTTGCACAACCAAATTACATGATGCATCTCTCTATTTATTACAAGATTCTACTGGAACGCACTAAAGATCAAAAGGCACTCAAGCAAGATTTTTACTCGTTGACCCTTTACTATGTCAACAAATAGAAATTAAACAAAAAATGATCAGTATTGGAAAATCAACTACTAAGTTAATAGTTTACAGTAAATTACATATACCTCTTTTTTTTCTTTCTTGATTTTCCTGTTATATTTTACCAAAATATTAGATTCAAATTAATCATTTCATAGTCAAATGAAATGGCTTAATAAACCACCACTTGCCTCCACCCTAAAATAGGAATTCTCTCCTATTCATTAAATTTAAAAAGTGAAAATACACTGAGTGTACAGAAAAAGTAGTCTTGTTGCTCTTGGGCTAATATATAAGTAAAATACGTACGATTAAAAGTTAAGATACCAAAAAAAATCAATTCACCATTATTTAGCATTTTTAAATTCTCACCTGATTTTTCTGTGTTAATTCATTAAATGAACTTTTAAGTTTTTGTAGTTCTTGCACATACACAGCAACTTCCTGGGGTCCTTTGGCAAGTTCACTCCTTAGCTGGTGTATTACAGTCTAAAAAAAAAAATTAAATCAAACTGAAACGAAACGAGCAACAGTACTACATAAGGGCTAGAAGAGTTCATAGCTCTCATAACTGTTACTGCTCTGAAATTGAAATAAGCCTTCATAGTGTGGACTGGACTCTTCCTCTTAACACCCCTGTTGCCATGCCACACGGTTTTTGGCTGCACACCACTTTATAAAGTTTTTCCAACATATATAACATCACTTATTTAATAACACATGAAAAAAATGTGGAATTTTGCCTAGATATCTGAAATAAGCACCAAGCTGCAAACTTGAATTTATGGCTTTGAAATCCTTTATTTTAAACCTCTTGAGTTTCAAGAAAATAAAGAAATTTATGTCTGCAAATACTTTCTCCCAATTTCTATAGCATAGCTTTCATATTTTACTTTGGAAATGTATTATTTGCACATATCTAATAGAGTTTGATTTGGGTAAATCAATTATCTGATTATATAAAAAACATTTGTACAAAGAATTTACCAAACTGAAATTCCATATAGTTTTGTTAAGATGAATCATTACCTTTTCATCAGGGATAGATAGTAGCTGGGCATGATTTTGCTTTAGTTTATGTGAACATTTTTAAGATATGAAAATTAGTTTGATCATTTAAAAATAGTTTGATTATTTAAAAATAATATAAGAGAGGTATCAAAAATTTTAGAAATACAAAATTCCTACACATGAAAGCCTCAGACATAAGAAAGGAAGATTTTACCTTTTAGGTATGGACTCCTCCAAGTGACAGAAGCAGAGGAATTGTACGTCTAATACTGTTTACTGAAGCTACTGTTTAATGGAGCCCCATGGCACAGTGGGTTACGCATTGGGCTTCTGGCGTTAAGATTAAATGCACCAGCCAGAACGGCCTGTCTGCCCTCATAAAGTTTTCATCTCAGAAACCTTAAGGAGCAATTCTAATCAGTCTTATAGGACCTGGCAGCAGGTTGGGTTTCACTTTTTACATTCATAAAGTTACAACTATTTTCATTGTCTCCTTTCCATGTTATTAAACAAGCATTACTATATGGAAGAGATATACATATGTTTCTTTGTTAATAAAAACACTAGCAATCTCTTATACATAATTACAAATGACTGCCTCTGTCTTCGAAGGAGAAAGTTGAGCCAACTACTAACTTATTTTAACAATAACAGAATAACTATAGACATTGTTTTTGCTACTCTTCTTCTACATAGACTGGTATGTAGCATGTTTGTTTGTTTACTTACATACTTACTAGCTTATTCACTTAAAGTATCCTGAGTGGTGGTATAACTTCAACTATTTATAGCAGCCTTAGTATTGAATTTTAAGAACAGTCTAGTAAACAAGGTGGAAACTGAACTGAATGTTCAAATTCTTATACTTGTTTTATCTTAATATCCAGAAATTATTAAAACTAATACTTTAGGTGCTTAATATCCAGAAATTATTAAAACTAATACTTTGAAGTTGCAAAAACAGTTGACAAGAATGGCAACATGTCTGAGAAGTATGCATAGCCTAGCCTTTGAAAGAAGAACACTATTTAAATGTACTAATCCTAAATCTACTGAAAAAGAATGTCACGTTACTTCTTATACCTTAAACAAGGTGCTCCATCGTCAGATAAAATGTGACTATTTACACGGTTTTGCACATACTCCCAAGAATGCTATGTTTAAATATTCATAAGTTTTGACAATTTAAAATTACACTATAATGTTTTCTGACTTAAACTGATCATGTTACCTTGATATAAATACTGTTATAACTTCAATTTAGTAGGACTAAGAATGCTGATTCTCAGAATCATTTTCTGTTAGAAACATTATGGGCATTAATACATATTTGGGGACAATTTGGCTATTTTAAATTATTGTTTTAATCTTGTAGCACAAAATCCAACTCATCCCAAAATAATGTAAACTATCACATTTAAATCTCTACTTATAAGTAAATAACACATTTAATTCTCTACTTATAAATACTTATAAATTTAGTACAGGGCCTGATACACAGTATATGGAAATAAATTTAAAATAAATTTTAAAAATAAATTTAAAAATAAAACAAATAAATATATAAAAATAAAATTTAAAGAGCACTCTATTTAACTCACTTCATTATTCCTGCCACTTAAAAGTTTCTAGTCCTTAGTAGATGTTCAATAAATACTCCCTAAAGGAGTAAATTATTCTAGTGCCAAAAAGTTGAGAGGCATTTGTAGAGACAGTATATTAGACCCTATAAAATAGTTAGTAATTTCTTGAAGCCATATGACTAAATTCAACATACAATTTTGACTAGAAAATTTTAGATTATAAAATAACCAAGTAAAAGTATTCTGTGCCACCATCTGAGTGATGCATTACAATTAAAATGTTTTTGTTTGTTTTTTTTTTGGGGGGGGGGTTTGGTTTGGTTTTGTTTTTAATCATTTTGTTGGGGGTTCTTACTAAAATGTTTGTTTTAATAGTCTTTTATTAGTAGTAAATAATCATCTACCAATAGCAGAAAATTTACTGATTAATAAGATAAAATTGACCGTATTATCAATGTTCTGAAACTTACTTAAAACAAAAAAATGACCATGTGATGATAAAATAAACTATATTAAAGGTATTACTAATATTAACGAGTCTCCCCAAAACACATTACCTCCAATTTAAGCATCTCCATTAGAAAGCAGGAAAAAAATAATACAGTGATGGATGAAAGGTGGAAGTCAAGACTGACAAACACATCAAAGACAATAAAATGTTCACACATCCTTTCAGATCTGCTTTCTTATATTAGCATATTTTTTAAAGATAATTCTTTTTCAGTAGCTAAACATGGACATAATTGTGCCTACCTCATTTCTTTACAAACATTTTAGCTTTTTAAACTTTAATCTGAATTTATTTATTGGAAAATGAATTTATTGTTTTAAATATAATTTCCATTAAAGACACACCAAATATAAGTAAGTTGATTACAACACTGGTAGTTTTATTAGTGTAGATAATTTAAAAATATACTTTTTTAACCTTAAAATCCTCAATCTTTAATCTACATAATAACTGACTGTTTATAAAGTACTTTCCTATTTCATAAAGTTATTTTTCTATATGCCATTTAAAACATCTAGTCCAAAAAAGTCAATTAAATCAAAGACATATATTCATCAAAATAACAAAACCTATCTAACAAAATGCACATTAGGTTACATATCTTCAACTCTAACTAAAAGTCAGTGCAATTTTAGCTATTTTTAATCCCTTTTAAAATACTTTTCTTAATCCTACATTTATGTTTAGTCAAAGCAGCAGCATATGTAATTTTTTTCTTGTACATTCTTTAAGTGCTAGAATTCACCCATAAGGTCAACTGAGACATACAGAATTGATTGTTAATAAATAAAACACAGACAATATATTCAAAGAAAGTAATCAAAAGCTACAAACAAATGGAATTATTTGTAGCACTGTTTTTTCATATGGAAATGGTATGAGACGTATCACAAAAAAACTACTACTCAATACAAGCATGACAACATGGAACATGGAAAATTAATCAAGTGAAAACAAGTATTAGTTCAAGATTAATAGTATAATCTTACTTAAAAGGCGATCATGAGACCAGCTAACATGGGAGACAACATGACGCCGAAGAATGAACACAGGCTTAGAGTTTCGGCCTGGGTTAAATCCTAGCTCCTAGCTCAGGTATGTGCATCTCTGTAAATAAGCTGTTTAACCTCATTCTGCCCCAGAGTCCTCATGTCAAGTAGACTTAATATTTAACTTATAAGGTTATGGGAAGTAAATATGACCATGTATTTACAGTTTCTAGGATGGCAGGTGAGGAGCCTGAGTGGCACTGTAGTTACTCAGTTATGGAGTGAAAGGTCAACGGTTTGACCCTACCAGCTGCTCCTTGAGTGAATGATATGGCAGTATGCTTCTGTAAAGATTTACAGCCTTGGGAATCCTAGGAGGCAATTGTGTTCTGTTCTACATCATCACTTTGAGTCAGAATCAATTCAATGACAATGGGAACACAGTATGCGAAACATAATAGTACTTAAAAAGAGTTTGTTTCCATTGATAATATTACTTTCCTAAGATTGTTCAAATAACGTAACTGAGGTTTCTTTGCCATCACGACATACCAATTGAGTTGTTGTTTTTGTTACTATTGTTAGATGCCATTGAGCTGGTGGTTCCACCCCTAGCAAACCCATGTCCACCAGAAGCACACACTGCTGGTCCTGTACCGGCCTCACAGCTGTTCTGATGTTTGCAGCCACTGGGCCAACTTTCTTGCCATGGGCCTTCCTCTGTTGCACTGCCTCTCTACCAACTGACAAGTCATAGATAACTAAGTGGGAAATATCCTTGTTTTACTGGAAATATGATTCACCTATTCAATGACTCAAAGAATAAAATATTTTATTTCTACAGTTATTTGAAAATATAAATCTTACAAAATCATAAGAACAGTTCATAGATTTTTAAAAATGAATTTTCAAACCATTTTTCTTCTTTCTCAAAAACATCTTTTCTAGAGGGGAAAAAAATCCTTTTTTTCCCTACAATTAGCCTTGTTGGCAAACAATGGAAAAAACATAAATCCTTTTACTCTGAGTCTTTTACAACTCTAGTAATAACTTTTTTATTTTCAGTGACTGCTTCTCATTGTATGAGGTGCTCCAAGCTTATGAGAAAATGGAATCAAAATTTCCCCCCAATTGTTTGGAGTCCCCTTGTATACAAAAACATATAACATACGTGAAGATGTAATATTTTTAAATCCTCCAAATTAAGCTTTGGATAATTTTTTAATAAAATATTTCTCAGAAATATTTTCACACTCTCCAGGTGAATTACAGGAGACCTGGTGGTGTAGTGGTTTATGCTTTGGGCACTAACTGCAAGGTCAGCTGTTCGAAATCACTAGCAGCTGCTCCACAAGAGAAAGATAGGGCTTTCTACTCCCAGAGTTACAGTCTCAGAAA